GTTCACGGGTCGGCGCCCATGCCATGTGTCGATCTGGCAGTTCTTGCCACGCCGCGTCCTGCTGTGCATTGTTGGCGTCCAAAAGGAACAACCGGTGGCAACAGAGAGGTACATTTGTGTTTGGGGGCGGTGGTGGCTGCGGCCCCCGCGGACTGGCCGGTCTGCTGGGCGCAGGGCCTGGCGCAACAATGCCGTGCTGTGCGCACAGCATGTCCAATCGGGTTTCCATGGTCTGGTGCCAGGGGTGCCTGCAGGACGGGCATGCGGGGTGTTGCTCATGGGCCCTGAGGTTGGCCGCGCAGCTGGTGTGAATGGCGTGGTTGCAATGGAGCCAATGGAAGGCGGGGTCGTCGCCCCGTTCGGGGAGCAGATGGCCTAGGCACACGGCGCAAATGGGGTCAGTGACAAGGTGTGTGCCGGTGTTCATGGGTGTGCTGCCAGTGAGATCGATGACCGCATTCGGTGTATGGGTCATGGGAGGAGAAAGGGGAGCCCGAGTCCAGAGGGCAAAAATCCACGAGGCCTATTTTTATACTGGCTAGGCTCCAGATGTGCTGAGTCCACCGTTTTTTTAATTTTTTTCTTCTTTTTGTTTTTCTTCTTTCGAGGCCTGTCTCTGGATTTTTAGAAGCCCGGTGAAAAGAGCTGTTTTTATACTGGCCAGCTTCCAGATGTGCAAATGGCGCCCTGGGATTTACGTGGTTTCAGGCTCCACTCGGCCGGGCTGTATTGTGCAAAAAAACAGAACGCACATACATTTATATATGCCGGTTGTTTTCCCCGGCTTTGGGGCCGATGTTAATGGGCTTAAAACCGCGCGTGTAGTGAAACTGTTTTTTCAAACAGACCACATGAAGGCTACCTTTCGTGACCTTGCCTTGGCTGGAGGTGGTCTACATCGATCTTTGTAACCGGACAACAAACATATTATAATCATTATGCCGGCTGGTCCAGTAATTTCTTGCGCACAAACATCTCCCAGGAGCCCGTTCTGTATAAAAACAGTCGCCCCCACGACTTTCTGCGGGCGACCTCGTCTTCCCGGTCGCGGACGGAGCGCTGCCCGGCCGCGTCGTTCTCCTCTGACGCGCCCTGCTTGTGTCACCTCCCCGACCGCAAAGACGGCCGCTCGCACGCAGCAGGCTCCGAGAAAAAGAGAGGTGTGCGGAAGAAGACCGCACATCAAGACATGCATGCCAGTCACCAAGAGACAGCAGAACGAGGACAAACCGGAATGATTGCCCGAGTTGTAAACGTATCGTGGGTTTTACAACTCCTTTGTCATGGGTCTTAAATCATTTTTGAGCAATGTACACAACTCCTATGTCATGGACTATAAAGTAGAGAAACACATCAAAACATGGTGACACAAGAATAGCCTTAAAAAAACAGAAAACTGCCGGAAAAGATGAACAAATGACGTGAGATAGGAGTTGTAAGTACCAGGAGGCATGATGAAACATGATGAGTAGGCCGATTCTTATGTCATTTGTTCTGTGTGCATCAATGCCCCTCCGTCCCTGAGAAAAAAAATAATCATCAGCTTGAATCAGCAACTCTGCAATTTTTGTGTTCCCATTGACTTAGGAGTAGTGGGCCACGACTACTATGTCACTGCCCACACAAGTCCTAAGTCACCGGTCGGTAGTATATTTTTTCAACGCGGATTTTGCCCTCGTCCTCCAGCTGGCACAACGCACCCCAAACACACAATGGCAGACGAACCCCCACAACATTCGTAGATCGTAGATGAACACAGTAGGACCTCCGGCCCACGGCAGGCGAACCTCCAGTAGCAGATGCGCGCAGTAGGTTTCAACCTTCGTTTCCCTGCCAGGAAGGGAGCGCCCAATTCAGCACTTGCGCCTCCATGCCGGCAATTTTCTTCCCTGCAGCTTTCCAGCTAATTTCACCCGTTCGCGGAACAAACCCTGGACCGCGCCATGGAAACTCCTCCAGTCAACGCCCGGTTAGAGGAACCATGTTTCGCATTCTCCTTGAACCTGGGCCAGAAGGCAGGGCCAGGGGTGTCTACAGATTGGTTGTTCAACCCTCTACAGTACATGTTTGCTGGGGTGGTGATGACAGGTCACTATGTTTTGAACTTGTGTCACCGACCAAATGTCGAACCCACTTCAATTAATTATTGTGTTCCATGTTAATGCCGACAGCGGGCCCCTTTCCCAGGAGGAAGTTGAGGGCAAAACAGTTCGGATCCGTGAGCAACTGGACGTGGAGAATGAGGTGCGGCGCGTGGGGTTTGCGGGTTGGAGAGCGCCAGAGCAAGGGAGAGAGTGCCACGACTGGCAAGGGGTAGGCCTCAATTTCATGGCAACAAGGTGCAACCTGTCCCGTGGAAAGGCTAAGTGTATCGATGATGCCTCGTTGTGGCTCCATCCCATTTGGGTCCTTTCGTCTGCATAATTTTTGAACACTGTCTGAGCGATTTGCATCGAAGAGATTTGCGCAATGGTTTTTGTTGCCCACTTGCCAGTTGCAAACAATCCGTCCAAACTTTGCCTTTGAACAGCTTGTGACCTTTTGCCACCACAGGTTTCGTACAACTTTTCTATTTTCTTAAAATTCTTTCATTCGGACGTCCTAGCGTTTAGACAGCCAGCGGTCTGGCCTCAGGTGAGCCCGACCTATTCCTCTGGTTCTTCGGACCCTGAGGAATCGCCCATCGCACGGTGCCGCTCACTGCAGCCGCCACAGCGGGCCTTGCCTGTGGTACGGGCCCGGGAGGCGAAAAATCCAACTTTGATGACTAGCAAGGCCAGGCACTTTGACACCAAGGTGAAGATTACCCAATCAGTGGCTTGAACTTGACATTGCAAAAGCAAAAATTAGTGGGGTTTGGTGGCAAATAGTTGGGACTGGTGTTAAAGCCTTTCAGCGCTTTGCTCAACTCAAATTTGGTGTAACAAACTTGATATGAAACCTGGAAAAAGTACATGTCAGATTGGGTGGTTGATCAGTGAATGTGAATGGATAACATTTGAATTTCACGAGGGCCCACAGGCGCTCGTATTTTGAATTCGTCCTGGTCATGGCATTCAGTGTGGTTTTTGTGTCCGGTTGTGTCATCGCCTGCTTGGTTGATGGTGTTGGCCGTGGGGGTCCTGCGCGTAGTGTATGCGTTGCTCCGTGAAGAATCGCCACAGTTGTGGAATCAAAGAACCTGATGAGTACGAGATAGTGGCTCACTGCATTTTCGCCACCGCCAGGTACCGTCAACGCTGTGCCGTGGCGTGGCTACGGAGCTTTAGCTTCGATGTTGAAGCGTCAACGAATGAATGATGCTTAGACTTCAGAACAGAACGATTTGGAACATGGAAACGATTTGGTGTTGCAGATGGGTGACAAATGCATGCACCACACTGCTTAAAATAGACACCTAAATAAAGCGATAAACTTTTTGGGCAAAGTTCTGAGTCCCTTTCTATATAGACCATGAGCACTCTGTTGGAATCTATCGCTGCCTTGAGGACGCAGCGCCTTGAAAACATCTCACGACCGCGGAAGTGGAGGCCCTGGTGAACAACAACATCACCAGCCTTGCTCGGGTGGCTTTTGCTGTTGGCCCTCCAGGCACTTCAGCCACCGACGCTCAGATCCAGGAGCTTTTCGGAGAATCAGCGACAATGAATTTTGGCACATTAGCCTCCACCAAAAGGCGTATCTTTTGAAGCACAGACAATGATTGTAGCCGACCTGAAGGTTGGGTGACCAGGCGCTGACCATGGCCTATGCTGAAAGAGTTTCCAGACCTTGTTTCCAGACCCAACGCAAGAAGTTCATTGGGCTACGCCTCAAAGAGGTCAGCTTATCTATCTGGGCCCAGAACGCACTCCAACCAGATGCAGCGAGCTGCAAGCCAAAAAACCCGCAAAAAAACTGTCTCTCAACAAAAGTTCCTCTACTCTGACGTTGCGAGACAAGAAGACCAAGCTCACTTGTTCCACCCGCACTGAACTTGTGGTTGTCCAGGCGCTGCGAAGGCGTGCGCATGCACGGAAGTATCCATCCAAATCCAACAAGTACTCAGAGCCGATAGGGCCGTATTTCTTCACATGCCCGAGCACTTGACAACCTTGAAAGTGCGCCTTGATGGGTCGAAACCTTTTGAATCCATGTTGCCCAACATGCTGGCTCATCCCACGGTAGCCTTCAATTCAGGTTGTTGCCATTGCCCAACAGAGAAGCCCAAAGAAACATTGTTTGTTTTGCCACTTTGCACCGCCCTGCGGTGCCGCCTCTCGAGCTCGGTTGATCCAGAAACCAGATCGCTTCGATCCCGCTGTGTTGAGGACTGACCGCTACTCTGACGCCCTTTACCCTCACAGGTGCCAACCAAGCCGTTGCTTCCAACCATTGAGAACGCAGGCAAACACAATTTTTTTGCGTCGTTTTTGGCACGAGGGCCTGTTATGTACACGTTTCCAGTCAATGCTCCAGACGCAAGCTCACCTGCTGGTACACAATGTGCCTACCTTTTTGAATTTCGAAGCCCACGGTAGGATGACCACAGGCAGGCGAGAATTGTCCACAGGCATTCATGAATCGAATGATGCCGCAGCAAGGATTTAGATGGTTCCAAGCAAGCCAAGAGTCAAACAGTGACCATGGGCATTCGTTGGACACCAGAGCAATTTGCGGAAGAGGCTGCCAGATTAGGCCACCCCTCCTTGAGTTTCAAGAAATCGGGCACAATGCCGCCAACTCAAATGAAACGCTTGCTCAAGACAGATCGGCTGAGCTCAGAAGGTGGGTCCTCTTGGTTGAAGAGCTAAACTAAAATAGGCAGAATCGGCTTGCAAAGAGACTGCAATCTTTCAGTTTAAGTCGTGTGATGTAGACGCGACACGCAAAACGAGTTGCGTTTAAGAGTTTGAACTGTAGGGGAAACGAAGTAAATAAAATTGTTGTATGGTGGGTTATGGTCTCCCTGCTGGCCGGGACACTATAGCCAGGGTTCGGGACTCTGCAAGCCATGGAGGGGACCCACAATATAGCCTACAGTTGGCCTGTGGGCAGGCTGTCCCTGAACATGGACGACATAGATCGATTGGCAGAAACCAGCACCAGTTCCACATGTTCCACCAGCACCTCACGCGGCTGCTGGAGCGTCGCCCACAAAGAAGGTGAAGGTCTCCAGCGTGACAGACCAAATGGACGACTCTGTCAGGGCAAAACCTGGACCAAGCTCAAAGCCAACATCAGAACAGGTGGCAGCCCTAAGGGACAGGATCGTCCGTCGGTGAGCAAGTCCCTCGGACTTCTCAATGCTGACCATGAAAAAGCAGGTGAAGACAAGGTCATGGTTGTTGCAGCAGGACGGCGCGTTTAAAGCTTGGGGCATACCAGGAAAGCGTGCTGGAAGGTGTTTCGTTCGATCTTGTTCACGCTTCCTTACCCTGGTGCGACTCCAACAGACGATCCGTTGAAAGCTGTCGCAGCTGCATGTTTGGAGGAGCACTACGAGAGGGTGGCCAAGCTCAACCAGGAATTTCTGGAGACCTGGCATTTGATCATGAAGGCGGAGGACAATCGTCGGTCGGAATGTTCAGTTGCCCATGAACTGGACTTGTTGCCTCAACGGCCATGAGTTGGAGTGTTCACCCATGCGGCTTTTGGTATGGTCCACACTGGAGTCCACACACCAGGACGAGGCCGAGCGAGTGAACGTCCCACCTCCAGCCAAAGAATCACTTGGGTTGGAGGAAGACGGGCCGACTCGCAAAAAGGAATTCAAACAAGTTGAGGAAGAGAACCACAAAGCTCTTGAGGTCAGCGGCATTGGGGGAAACAGTATGCCACCAGAGCGGCGGGCCACGAGCTTTGCTTGAGATTTGCAAAGGGAAGCCTGGAGATTGTGCAAAGGCGTGCAAAGGTGGACATCCCAATTCCCAATGCCCAGAGAAAACCAAGTCCAAGGGCAAAGGGAAGAGCAAGTCCAAGAACAAGAGCTGACAGGAAGAGACGCTGAAGCTGAAAGGCATGGAGGTGCACCGTGTGATCCAAGATCACGGGGTGTGCATAGCCATGCCAAGTGCAGAGGAGATGAGAGTCGACAAGGAGAAGGATCCGTCGGAAACGCTTGTGACCCCAAAGCCTGCCAAAATTGCGAAGATGTAGCCAGCGCAAGGAATTCAATTTCTTAGAGCTCTTTGCGGGAAAAGCCAGGTTTTCGAGAGAAGTGAAGAGAATGAGCAGCCATGTCGCGAAAGTCATGGAGCCACTGGATGTGCTTGGAAACTGGAGCATTTTGTCAGCGGGCTTCAAGGAGGCGAAGAAGGCAAAGAAGGCAGCAGCAGAAGCAGACCACGCCCATATAGTTTTCCCGTGTCGAAGCCTCACTCGCGCGAGGTGGTCCGATGCGCGTGGCAATGTGCAAGTTGTTGGTGCCGACGCCTGGCCCGAAGGCTGGGTGGGAGGAGGTCAACAAGATACTCGAGAAGTTTGGGGCGCTCATCGGGAAGACTTGGTCACTGGAGAATCCGGAAGACTCCTGTGCATGGGAGCACTCAAAGATGGCCAAGATCTTGAAAGGAAAGGGGTGCACAGAGTATCGCCCGAGCTTTGTTTTGAATTTACGTGTAAAGTGTAAATAGGGTTCTGGTGGGAGGTGACAAACAACTGTAACAGGGTGCTGGTAGGAGGTGACAGATGACTGTAGCAGTTTTCGTGTAACAAATTTGTTTGTGAAATGAAAGCTGGAAGGAGTACATATCACATTGCAAGGTTGATCAGTGCATGTGAATGGATAACAATTTGATTTTAAGAGGGCCCACAAGTGAAGATAGATCACCATGTGCTATGTATCTTGAGTTCTTCCCGCCCACCCCCAAAATGGGTGCCCCTCTTTGGTTCCGCAGATTAAGTCACTAAGTGTTTCAATTGCGCTAGGAGAGTGTGTTTGCGTGTCTGAAGCTTTTTGTGGGCTTTGCGGAACTCGACCTCGTGACAAAACCAAGTCATCGCGTCTCAGGCCCTGATTCAGGGCGTGTCGCTAGTTTGACGGGTGTCTGAGAAGGGGAATAGAATGCCACAAGAAACATGCGCCCTAGTGCTGTATCCAGCATGCAGAAGAGTATCGCTCGAGATGTGCTTGAATTTTCATGTAAAGTGTAAATATGGTGACAAACGATTGTAACAGCTGTCGTGATTTTTTCATGGGCCTTGAAACTTCATGATTTTCATCCTTTTCTACGGCTGCACATTTTCACATCTCACATCTACCTCGTGTCACATTATGTCACATTGCGCAGCCATCTTCATTGTACATCGTGCGCCGTTTTTTTCTCGGTCCTTTTGTGTCTGCACGAACAAGGCCACAGCTTCTAGCCAAAAGTGGCCCGCCGAGAAAGGTTCATTCTCCTTTTACTCGGCCTCAACTGCAGCGGATGAGCCACACTGCATCCATCCTAGGATCGGAATCTCGCTCCTGTGCATCAGCTATCTGAGCTCTTCCTTGCAAATTGAAGTGTCCGTTGCCCGGAAGTCTTGGCGCAGAGTTGGGCCATCCAAGCCTGAACTTTCCCATCATGTTCCCGAGTGGTGCGCCCACATCTCTGACATTCATACCAGGAACCCCTCCGCCAGATTTCATGGGACGTGTGGACATGTGTCCGAAGATCCATATCAGCTTCCTTCATCTTGGCATAGTGACATGCCGAGGTCTGGAGCCTTGCTAGGGCGTCCTTCCCACTTCTAAGCGGAATCTTTGCCCAGCACCTCTTGCAACTGAAGTTGGTGGCCCCAATGTGCCATCTATATATGGCCTTCCACTTCATCCGGCATGCCCTCAGTGTCCTGCGCCAAAGCAGTCATAATCTGCTTCAGAGTCAGCGTGACCGAACCTGTGCACGCAGTCGCTTGCTTGCTGCTGATTTCACTATGAGTGCTGCAAGACTTGATCTTTTTCCCGCACAACTCACAAATGACACCTTTTCGATGATGAAGCCACTTGTGTTGCCCAGACACCGGAGTTTGTTGCACCAGCTGATTGAACAGCTCAGCCCGGCCTTTAGGCTTGGCAGGTGCCACCTTGTACTCCACTTCAACCTTTTCTAGATTGGCATGCATGTAGTGCTCCGGATCTCCCAGCACTGCAGCGATGCGGGCAATGGCAACTTCATAAATGCCGGCATGTTTCCTGTCTTCTTCTTTCAATTCAGCCTCCAAGGCCAAAGGTGCCTCCTTTTCAGCCCTGTGCTTTGCCGCCATTTTTGCTTCCACATACTGGAGCCAGGCTTTGGAGTCATCGCCAGAATCCTTGAGCATCTTCTGCGGCACATGTAGAAGCTGGACTCTGTGCCACTCATCTTCCGGCAGGTTATGCCACAGATCCGGTGCAGTCATACTTTTTGCTCCTCCTTTGAGAGCTGCCCACCCAGCTCTACAAGGGATGTTGACCTGATGTTTGCCCAGGACAGCTTGGAGCAGGAGCCAAATACCAAAAACCCAGCTTCTGGCCTCAGTGGCCTGCCCAGGTGCCAATGCCGTGCAGGTGCCCACAATTTGCCATGATCCCTCTTGCCACACTCCAACAGTCAAGGCAACAGCAAACTTCTTGATCCGGGCATCCTTGCAGGTGGCATGTACTCCAAGAGCCAAACGATGTGCTGGGCCAATCCTCACCGGCCAGCCATGAGCCAGGACCCCACTGACTTGACAAGATTCCGGGCCGTCAACAGGGATGAAAGACGGAGACTCAATGAGGCCCCTAGCCCACAGCATGGCATCTTCATTAGCCTGAATGCTTTGCTGCCACTCAGCCGGAAGGCCTTCCTGATGATACTTGCACTGCCATATCAGGTGCTTCATGGTGACCGGTACATTGCAGATTGGGCACAACACCCTCTCACCAGAGCTGCGTGTCCGCAAGGACCCTTGTGCCCAGGCATCCAGAGCTGCTCTTGCTGGTCCTTTCAGATTTTTGGCCACCTTGTGATAGACCGTCCAGTCTGGCTGCCTCATCAGCGGAAAACAATGCTCCAACTGTTGAATCCTCCGGGCCCTTTGATGCTTCTGTTCAATTCTCAGCTGACGCAGGAGGTGCGGCCATGGGTAGTCAAGGCTCATTTGATTTGGCGGCAGCAGCGCAGTGGCCGGTCGGATCCAATCATCCAAGACTGAGGCATCCCAACCCATCTCCATCAAGTACGTCTGCAGCGCTGCCATTGGTCCAGCCACAACAATCCACGGGTGTGCTGCTGCTTGCAACCTCCTCCAAGACACCCTCCAAGCAGACATCAGCTCACCTCTTTGGCTTTCCGGCCACGCCCGAACCAACTGGTGCATGGCCTTCTATGCCAACAGGTCCCCTCCACTGTTGTGCACGACTTCCCCTTTTTTCCCTCCAATCTGGTGTCACATCTACTGTTACCCACTCAATGGGATTTCACCAGCCGTCTTGCGCCGCTTGGCGAGCGTTTCAGCCAGATTTCTCTCCAACTCCTTTAGCTGCTCAAGGGTGAAAACAATGCCCGCTTGCCCCATGGCCTTCATGACATGCTCCGTAGTGTCAGGGTCCAACACATGTTCTGCAGGTGGAGTGCTGGGCAAGGCCTCTTCCTTCAACTGCTTTGCATAAGCTTCTGATTGATCTCCCAGTTGCTTATGTTCTTTGTCAATTGCTTCCTGAACCATCTTCAACTCGTCAAGCAGGGTCTTGTACTGCTCCTTGGCCTGGTCAACTTTCTTCTGCAACGACTGCTTTTTGGTGGAGAGCTGTCTCAGCTCTCCCACAGTGGCCTTCAATTGTCCCGTCACGTCAACAATGGCCATTGGAGCAGGTTTCAGCAGACCTTCCACCACATCTTTGACCTCCTGGGGCAATGACTCCAAATGCGCCTTGAGCACCAACTCCTTCAATGCTGTCTGGAACTCATTGGGTAAGGATGTCCAAGCCTTTCTCAGTGTGCTTTCAACTACACTGTTGTGGTGTTTGACTTTACCTGCAAGCCCCGGTGGTGGGTCCACACTCACACGATCTCTTCCTCGGGGCTTCCTCATCTTCTTGCTCGGTGACCTCACAAAGGCTCTTGACTGCCCTTTGTCTGGCCATGCCGTGCCACGCTTGTCACAACCCCACCTGGTAGCCGAGATGCGGTCACTCCAAATCCAAGACACCTTGCATCCTTGGCATACACAGTAGGGTCTGGCCTTTCTCCTGGCGTACTCCCATCCAGTCATCATCAAGACCTTCTTCAGGAGGAGCCACCCTCTATACTAGATAGGTCAGGTCAAAGAGACCAACAAAGATGTAGTTCCAGTCACCTCGAGAACGTCGAAAACCTGCTTGAGCCATCTGAGGACCCTTGAGCCGAAACTTGAGCCAAAATGGCTTGAGCCAGGCTACGGCGTGCGCCGTCTCTTTTTTTTCTCGGTTCTTTTGTGTCTTGCTTCCTCGACTCCCGCGCCCTCAGGGAAAAGCGGGTCCCGGCAAGGCTCCTTCTCCTTGGACCGGGGAAATTTCTACAAGCATGCCCATCTCCACCACAAAGGTAGTGGCCCCAAACGGCAATCTCTGTTGCCCTGTCCTTCTTGGGCACTCAGTCTGCATCCAGCTTGGGACCCTTCCATCTCTGGGCTTTGCACTCCTGCTGCACCTTGCGCAGGACACCCACTCTCCTCTGCGCCAGAAATTGTGGCTCATGTGAAGCCTCGAACGCAGTTGCAGCTCTCCTTCATGGATTTGACCATAGCGGCACTCCAAACCTGTCAAGGCCTCTAGAGCTGCTTTGCCACATCTCTTTGGCGCCTTGCGCCAACACCGTTGGCAGCTGAAAGAATGGCCCCTCAATGCCCATCTGTGCCCCGGGAGGTCCTCTGGCTTAGCTGCACTGGTGTCAACCAGCTCTTGCATTTGCTGTAGCAGTGTCTTGCTCCGAAGGCCTGCGCAGAAAGAGCCACCCTTCTTGGAGATCTCGGCATGGGTGGAGGATGCTTTCACATTCATCCCACATGCACTGCATTGAAGTCCACCCCCCTTGAGCATCCATGGATGTTGTCCTTCTGCCGGCTGACGCTGGGTGAGCTTCTGCAGAATCTCAAGCCTCCCAAGCGGTGCTTTGACTTTGACTTTGAATTCAGGATCAATTTTGGTCAGCTTCTCGTGCATAGCATGTAGTGGTCCTTGTCCTGCATCAGGGCCGCAATTCTACCCGCGGCAGCTTGGTAGACCTCACCGTGCCATTTGTCTGCTTCTTGCAACGGCTGCAGGAGTTCACGTGGTGCTTCTTGGTCAGCACGTTGGCCTGCACATTGTTGGGCAACCTTGTACTGCTGCCAGGCTCTCTGGTCTCCTTGGTCCTTCTTGAGCAGCTTGGCAGGGACGCGCAGAAGGCCCAATCGTGCCCACTCAGACTCTTCCAAATTGTGCCATAGGTCCGCCACCATGGTGCTCCAGGACTCCTGCCACCCTTTTGCAAAGCTTGCCACCCTGCACGATGGGGTATGTTGAGCTGGTGCTTGCCCAGGAAAGCTTGCAGGATCAACCAGCATCCAAAAAACCCATGCTCTGGCTTCAGTGCCCTTGCCTGGGGTCAGCGCTGTGCAGGTGCCAACCAGTTGCCACTCACCATCCTTCCATTGCCCAACTGTGACTGCCACAGCAAACCGCTGTACTCTGGGGTCAGTACAAGTTGCTCTGACTCCAATGGCTAGTCGATGGCTGGGTCCAATCCGGGTTAGGCCATACATCATCCATCAGTCCCGTGACTTGCATGGAGTCCACCCCAACCAGAGGCCTGTAGTCTGGGCTATCAACCAAACCTCTTGCCCAGAGCATTGTCTCCTCATTGGCCTTGATGAGCCTCTGCCACTCTGCCGGAAGGCTATCCTCATGATAGCAGCACTCCCAAATGAGGTGTTTCATGCTTACCGGCACGTTGCACAAAGGGCAGCTGGCCCTGCCACCAGCTGTGTGGGTTCTGAGACCCGGCATCAATGGCAGCCCTTGCAATGCCCTTCATGTTCTTCATG